AACTGAAGGTAACATGTGAATGTTTTATACCTCCCGACATAGAGATTTTTTTTTCCGACGGGATGTGAATATATCAAGTGTCATGGGCGAAAAGTCGGATCGGATGACACATTTTGGCTGTGTCATGATAAACTTTACATTCCCTCTCCCCCGCCCCCAATAAGGCTCTGGAATAATCTTACGATCCTCCTCATTGGCAGACAATTTTCAATACTTACCCTTTTATACTCTGCCACAACAGATCCCATGAAAAAAAATATGAGATTGCCTCAAAATCGGGTAAAAACAGCAGAAACTTTCTACGCTCAACTCTCATAACTACTAGGACTACTTCATACTTACCTTTGTGCACTATCAAGAATCAAGATGACCTCTTCAGATAAGGTAAACTACTACACACAAACTGTATCATGAAAGTATCCAAAGTAAACTCTGTGATGATAAAATAAAACACGATTGTGTTTTTTTTTCCTAGGATTTGAGCTAATTGGTCATATCACCAAGACATTATACACTGACGAAATAAGCTGTGGATTGAGATGCCTTCAAGATGAAAAATGCCAATCTTACAACAGCAAATCCCATCCTAATGATGCAAAGAAGGAATGTCAACTGAGTAACCAAACCGAAAAATCAAGTCCGGAAAACCTGAGGCGTAACCCACGTTCTACTTATTATGGAAGAGGTACTGTTGAGTAAGGTGATTAAATTATGGAAAAGCTAGTGGAGGTGGGAGGGGGGGTATGAAGGGTCGGAGTATTTTGGTCGTCACAATAAAGTTTTCCTGATCCTTCCATAACGTTCCGAATTATTCTATCGATCTACCTCATTGGCGGCCAATTTTCTTTAGTCCCACCTTTAAACTCTGTTAGCGACGACTGATCCTCCCTCAGTTTCCTTTGAAAACCATGAGATGCCCCCTCCCACCCCTCCCACCCCCTCTTTCCAAGCGAAAAGTGGTGACCTATTTCTTATTTCTGGTCAGCGTATGTATAACATAGCATGTATAACCTTTCCTGAGAGAATATGAAGTTTAAAATCTCTTGCTTTTCCTTATAATGATAGGTTCTCCATTTTCTTAGTTTGAATTGAAAGATGCTAGGGATCCTACAAAGATTTCCAAAATCATGAGCTATCTAATAATTACGCAAAAGTAACAACTTATGGAATAAGACCTCTGTGGCGTGTTTTGTTTCTTACTTTGATCCTCTCATCGTTCCAAATGATTATTCTACCCTTTTTCGATGCAGGTAAACGAGGTTTGGATTCTGCTCATCCGGCCTTCTCCTGTAAGGAAATTCTGAACTCTGGACACTCCAAAGGAGACGGGGAGTATTGGATCGACCCAGAGAAGAGTGGAAACCCTTTGAAGGTCTATTGTGACATGTCAAGATATGGTGGTAAGAGGATGGATTTCTTTTTGAGACACGAGGACTTCAACCGGAGTATGTTTGACTTGGTGCAGTTGTTATTGGAACGTTCTGGTCTTGGCTATTCGTATTATGTTTTTAATCAAAACAATGACAAAATTCTCGAACGTGATTTGTTATCACCAGACGGCCGATTTGAGCACTAATAGGACAGTGTACGTGTCATGCTCGTAATTGGACTATGTAATGGGACAGTTAAGGGGACAGTTAACACGTCATGCCTGCCTGAGTAGACAGATAGCGTCATGTGTGCGCTGTTGTCTCGCATTTCGCCGAGTTAACTGTTGTTTTTTTGTTTTTATGAAAACGTATGTCTAGTTTTATGAAAACTGATGTCTAGTTTCGTTCTCAAATTTTAACACAGTTTTGATTAATTGGTAACTGGACTTTGGACTGTCGTCCAATTCTGTCAGTAATGATACTCGTGATTAACAATTCAGTCTCCCGCTTTGCAGTCCTACGATTTTGATAATCACTCGTATGATTTCAGACCGAATTGGACTTCGCTCGGTTCTGTTACCACTATTAATATGTCCAAAATTCTATTTACATAGATGTCACCAGATCATTTAGGTTTGTTTTATTTTAGGAGGTTGGCTTCTGGTGTCAAATGTTGAGTTCGGCAGCCCCTCTTCTAAGGTGTCAGTTGAGACATCATACCGTGGGATAGGTAAGTCATATATGGTTCTGCAGAAAAGTGCCATGAAAGAGCTCAGAAGACACTTGTCCTTTACTCAGCTGAGATTCCACTGCCACAAGAAACAGGGACGCACATTCCACGTGGTCACTACTTCCAACAGCTCAGGGGAAGCTGTGGTCCAGTACTTCAGCGGTCAGACAGATGAGCAACCGGATGCCTGT